TCAGCTCATCTGGATGCCGTCAGCAGATGATACGAATTGAAAACAATTGATTGTGATTGTTATAGTAATACCAGTATATAACAAGCTTATATACCTATAACAATCACTTCCATTGTTTTCAATTCGTATCATCTGCTGACGGCATCCAGATGAGCTGAAATATCCAGATGACGGCAGCTAAATATATTGTCTGTGTATACTTAAACACTCAAAAATGTGTATCGGGGGGTTTTTGGATACGAGAAAACCGAATATGACGTTAGTTTTGCGATACAAATAAGGGGTACCTCCCGAACAAAATTTTTGAGTTTTCGCTCTAAAACGAAATTTTGTATGGGAAGTACCCTTAATATGCATTGAAATTTCTTCAAACTCTCGGAATGTTATTTTTGTGTGATAAAAATAAGCTGTGCAAAGTTTAAGCTCATTACGATATCATACAGGCATGGCATTCATACAAAAACCCATTTTTTTTTGAAATTTTTATGAAAAGTGTGTCAAAATATATTTGTATCGCAAAACTTACGTCATATTCGGTTTTCTCGTGAATTCTTTGAGTAAAAGATTTGTAATAAATGCATGTTGTGGATCACAGTGCGGAAAAGTTCATCTCACGGATGTAAGACATTTTATTTAATATTTCAAATGTTATCGTTAATCACATGGGACTGTCAGTGTAAAAATCCCAAAAAAATTTGTTTTCGTGGAAGTATTGTAGATACTTTTTCTTCAGCGGTTTTGCTGCGTATTTCTAAACAGTTCGCCATTTTTTCTGATATTGCTTATTGTAGATGAGCAATACTGATTATAACTGATAAAAGAACTACTGAAATGTGAACTTCAAAAAGTATATATCTTTTTCACGTTTCAATAGTATTTATCTTTAATTAAAACTGGTCTGACCATACATTGCAAAAAAAATCAATTGGACAAAAACATCCACCGTGCGCACTGCGCTAAGTAAGCAAGTAGATTTGAAAACTTGAAATCTTGCACGCTTCCACGTACATGCGGTATTATTGAGAAATGTTAATGACTGAACAATATTGTGTAAATGTTTTTTTTTTTTCAGGTTATTTATATAAGCACTTGCACGTAAATACAAATCAGTAAAAATGTTGAACTAGATTTAAAATGCGAATATTAATATTTTAAATGTTGATAACAGTTCACAATAACCATTGTCTAAACAGGTATGCTAATTAACCCTTAACCGGGCAGGTCGGGTCTCTGAGACCCGGTGGCGCATTTAAAAAAAAAAGATACATAAAATCGCATAAAATATTATTTTAATCAAACAAATTGTTTTGTATTGTATATTCTTCCATCCTTCTACTAATCGTTGATAAAAGTGGTTTTGAATTTGGTTCCCTAAGTAGCGCTGTATTGAGGTTTGAACAACTACCGGACGTACATTTTCCATACAAAATGTCATCAAAATTTTTAAATGAAGTGCAAAATTTGTACTAAACAACTACTGAACTGAAACTTAAGTTCAATTCAACTACTGAACTGAAACTAAATTATTCCTGTATGATGATCATTTTTTCACAATACTTGTGTATAGTTTCGTTTTCACATTCTCTCAAACGAAAATAAAAAGGAACTTACTGCCTTTACAAAGTTAAAAAAGTATTGAATAATTTTTATCAATTCAAATTTAAGTAATAATAAAAAAGCTGTCATTTTCACATTTAAATGTTAACTTTAGTATAGAATATGTTTTGGATGAGTTGAATTCATTATTTTTTCAACCGTTTTGTGAGTGACAATTGAAATATACATGTCATTAACATATACACCCACAACAAATGATGGTCAAAGCGTTGTTTATATTTTTCAATTTCGTTGCTATGGCAAATTACGCGCCTCTAACAAATAACTTAAATTCAGCTGTGAGTTTCTTAATCGCTTCACTTGTATTCTTTTTATCTTTATTGCAATAAATTATCAATAAACATTCAAAAAAGAAGTTCGATGTTTCAAAAGAAAATGTCGAAATCGAAAGGCGACATTGATGTGCCAGAAGCATTTCCATACATTCTGAAAACCTATGCAAAAGGTAATTGAGTTGTGATTGTTATACATGTTGAGTGTAAAATTGGCGCTAAAACGGTCTATTAATAATTGTTAAACAGATGCATTGCGAACACAGCCATATGACCTGCTCTCCTGGTCTGCCGCTTATTTTCGATGTATTGCTGACAATATTAAACCACCGGCCAAATTACGATTTGAAGAAAATACAGAGCAAATGATCGAAGCCAGGACTTTAACACCGGAATACCTAAAAGTTCTTATAAATCAGGTAATTTTTGCGTGACGAAGTTATATTGGGAGTATTTTCAAAATTTCCAAATAATTTTCAGATTGGAAAAGGCTTTTTCGTTGAGAGACATGTTTTAGAAAGAAGATGGAAGGAACTTGGATTGGCAGAGGTATACATAAATTTAAATTATCTTTTTCAACATTTTTGACGATTTTTATATTTCAGAACGATTTATTAGTATTTTTAAATATCTCTGGAATGCTACGTTGGGAACGAATTCATTGGTTGGAGTTACTGGCGGTAATGACTGCCTCAATGTGCACGGTAATTTAATTATTTTAATTCAAAGCACTCAAAAGTAAATTGAAATCAATTGATTTTTTTCGTTTGAAAAAAAAAACACAGAACATTGAAATGTCTATTTGTTTGATGTGCGAATTGCTAACGGATGATACAGACGGTGGGTCCAATTCCATACCAATTTGGATGTTCAATATATGCTATTCGTTTCTTGCGCACTTAAACTCCAGTTTGAACGAAGAGCAGATCGCTGGCATTGAGTAAGTTTACAACTATAACAAAGACTAGCCTAAAATTGATTGATAATGAAAATTTATAAGTTATCTTCTAACTATTGCAGAATCAAACCGGCCCAAATAAATGCGCAAAAATTCAGAAACGACCTCATAAATGACTGGAAAATATGTGTAAATTTTTCTGACAAAAAAGACGATTCCATTTCATTAATATTTAATCGCATAAAAGTATCTACGAATTTTGACGAAATAATCAAAATACTCTCCGAAAGAAATGTTGGCGACGATATCGAAAGCAACGACTCGCAATGGAAATGCGAAATTATTCGCAAAATTGGAGCACCATGGAATTGGATTTATCAGTTTGTCAATCATTATCGACCAAATTCACAATCATATAATTTCTATGAATGCCAGCACACGTTGGAGAACCGTTTTCGAGAAAATTTGACGCCACCAATTTGGAAGTCATCTTGTATGCCAGGAATTGGATCAACAGTAGCACTCGATGTGAGAGATGCATTCCTGAGCTATGTAAATTCGAAAGCGATAGAAAACAATGGCATGATCAATCCCACAAACTTTAAAGATGAACAGTGTCCTCCAATGTGTTGAAACATATACCTATATTAAGTATAAAAGAAACAACAAGCTATCACATTTTACAAACAATAAAATCAACCCAAGTGTTCTTTTACATTTTTTCCTCAATTTATTCTGATTAATAACAATAAAATCGTGAATCTTTATTTACATATCTTCGTCTAAAATGTCATTTAATTTTTGGCGCGTTAGATTTTTTTTCAATTTTTCAACAAAATCATCGAAATCATCGGTGCCCGTTAAAAATTCGTCTAAATTATGTGCTGTACCAGCCGTACCACTGACGCGATGGTCTGTTATTCGATTCTGTGCATAATTATATGTTCGTAACTTTTCGTTCCTTGTGCGTAATCCGACTTGTGATTTTCTCAAATTTTCTTTCGATGATAGTTGCTTTGTAAATTCCATCTGATATAATTTATTGTGTAATTTCTGCATGGCAATTTGTCGGTTTTTCATTTGTGTTCGATCTTCTTGGCATTCAATCGCAATGCCCGTTGGAATATGTACAATTCGAACGGCTGATTCGGATTTGTTGACATTTTGACCACCCGGACCACTCGCACGTTTCGTTTCAACGCGTATATCATTCGAATTCAATTTGATTTTAATATCATCTTCACAAGGAATTACAGTCACGACAGCTGTACTTGTATGCATGCGACCGCTGCGCTCAGTTTTTGGTACACGTTGTACACGATGAACGCCGGCTTCATTTTTTAAAATTTCATATGCATCACATTCTTGCACCACCATCGAACCACTGCGAATGCCTCCCATTTCAGTATTGGCTTGTTCTAAAACTTTATAGTCCCATTTCCTGAATTTCACGTAATTTTCATACATGGTAAACAGTTCACGAGCGAAAAGCATCGCTTCTTGGCCGCCAACACCGCATTGCACTTCAAGCATAAGCGAACTCACGTTTGGCTCATTTTCATTCAGTGCAATCACTTCGTCAACTAGATCTACATCGATTTCCAGCAATGTATCGACAAAATTTTGCTTTTCTTCAGTGGCCATGGCAACAATCTCTTTATTCGATTCATTTACCATTTCACGCGCCAGTTCATTGTATTGATCAACGATTGATAGACGATACTCATATCGTTGCAATAGTCGATTTAACAGTGGTCCATTTTTATGCTTTAGATTTGCTTGTGTTGCTATCAAATTATCCAAATAATCTTTGAGCTTCTTGTTTGCGATCGGATACTTTACATCATCGGGTATTATTGGATTTGACGGTGCAGTACAGAACAATTGTTTGAATAGTTGGGTTCGCTTATACAAAAATACACGATTGGTTATCTGACGAGTCAACGGACCCGAAAAAATCCACATTATTTTTATAGTTTTTCTAATTCACAGACATTGAATGTTAAAAAGAGCTTTGTTTGCAGTAATTTATGTAAAATTTTGGGTTAAGCATTCAAAACACAGCTGATGTTGAACATGACATTTCTATCTGTCAAGTCAGTATATCGTTAGTTTGAACTGACAGCACGAAGTAGTAGTAGAAGAAAAAGTATAGACAATATTACACATTAGACAAAGCCATGTAAAAAATAAACAAATTCGTTTTTGTCCATCCAATATTTTTCGAATTTATTTCATTTTTAATTTTATTTATTTTCACCTGTTTGTTTCATTAAATTCGCATTCAAATGTATGACAATATTCCATTCGGTTACCGTAATTATTTTAATTAATTTTTTTTCTAAAAAAATTTACCTAATAATCGTGTCTTCATGATACACAAGTGACAAAACAAATATTGTGCATCCCTAAAATTAAAACAAAAATTGAATTGCCATGGCTTATATTTAATCGATCACAATTTCTTATGAATTAAAAAAATGTCAAATCGATTGTGTTCAAACTGTTTGAGGTAACCGATGTAAGCGAGCTGCCCTGGTTTGAATCATTTGCAATGATAACATCCGAATCGTTCGATTCTTCATCGATATTCGCGTAAAGATGATTCTCTTTATTTTGTTGACGGCACTGCAAATTAACAATCTCTAATGCATCTTTGTAGAGTTTTGAATATCGTTTCGGTTGTTCGTTTAATAAATTCGTTGATGGATCACATTTTATTCGTGTTATAGTTATTTGTGGCCGTTGAGTGAGTAATAAATCAACGGCACTCTCCACGGAATCATCGTTGGATATTGAACAATGTTCGAGTTCAAATAAGTTAACTTTTGATGTTGATTTGGTGTCTTCGAATTTTCTACAAATCGATGGTGTGCTTGTTGCATCTGTATTGTTTGATGAATCATCTGTGTCCAATGGTTCATGGCTTATTTTAGCCGAATCTTTTGTTTTCGTTTCTTCATCGTCTGAACATAGATCAATATAGGCTTCTGGTGTATACCGAATCTTCAATCGATTTCTGTGGACCTCATATTGTCTAGTTGGGTAATTAACGAATTTTTTTCGTGGTTCAACGATATTCTGCTGTGATTGAATGCGCTTATATTGAGCGAAAGCTTCGTCATATGTTTTCGTTGAAAATTGCCGCCGTGGAAATTTATACCAATGGAAATTATTTGTACTATTATTATTTCGAAAACTACAATTATCGAACGTCACGGCATTCTTATCCAGAAAGGTGGGTCGATAGTGACTGAGTGGCGGAGCAATACAATATCGTTCATATCGTTCGATACGTTCACGAGTGTATTCATCGTTGACTAGTGCTTTGGTTGGAGCAATAAGTCGTTGTCCACCTGGTGATGTGATTGGTATTTGGCTTCTTAATAATGCAGATATGCCAAGTGATCGTCCCGATCTTTTATTTTTTTTCAACAAATTTGTTGAACTATGGTTATCACTAGATATTGCTTGTTCGCTATTTTTGGCTTTGTTCATTCCACTCTGCGTCAATCCAAAACTCTCCAAAAAGTCACTTTGTGCAGGACTTTGCTCTGGAATTGGATTGTCACAAAATATAATATCATCATCGTATGTAATGCTACTATCGTCATTTTGACACATCTTCATATGCTCCTGAAATACCAAACGGAAATTAATTAAATTATGAATTAAATAAAATAAATTTTTTCAACGATTTTTAATTTTCACATGAAAAAAAATATGTACTTACTTGGCAATCGTTTAAGGCGGGAAAATGATTACCGCATAAATCACACGTATACGTGTCAAACAATGATGACAGATTGTATATTTTATGAAATTTTTCTAACTTTGGCATCGCAAAATATTCAACGGTTTTCACCAAAAATACTGAAAACAATTATCGAAACATAAATTATAAGAATTTTAATGGAAAACACAGTAAAAATGGAAAAATGTGTTTTTTTTACCAAAAATTTGATGGACCAAGCTTGTTGCTTGTGATCTTTTGTGAACAAGAGATGATGTTGATTTATGTACGTTCCGTTTTATACAATCAAAACGATAGTTTTAATAAATAGAGCACAAAGCTTAATTTCACTTGTATATAATTTTACAACATTTTAAAATATCGAATTAATGGATGCGCCAATAAATTGAGATTTTCAACTCAAAGGACAAACACTGTTATTACTTTTGTTGTCATCTCGTTGTTCTATTACAGGTATGTGTCACACAGCGCTCGACATAAACATTCGAAAAATGCGGAAGAACATAGAACTACGACAATCAATACAATATATCACACGCACAGATGCACGCAATACACTCTAGATTTTCTATTATGGACTATTCAATTTGTATGAACCGATTTCATACAGAATAAGACACAGCATCAAGCATTGTATTTGTTTCATCGACAAACATTTTGCCATTACATAAATGAAATAAAATTTAATGAATATGAATGAATTTTTGAAATGATGAATATTTTCATGAAATGCATTTCGTGATCTAAATAAATTAAAGTAGCATGATCAAACAGAAATTATTAGGGTTGCATAAATGATAGATGATGTATAAATAATATGTTTCGCACAGTTTTTCAATGCATTTTTGTCAATTTTTTATTTCATCAAATAAATTTCATGAAGTATAAAAAATAAATGTTTTACATCAATAGTTTTTTTCAAACAATTTTTTTCAATAGTTTTTTAGATTCGATGCGATGTCTTAGTACTTGTAAAAATCCCATTGCTTTGATTAATTAAATCTCATTACCAGAGAAAATTGATTGAAAATTGAGATATTGCCACGATGAAGAGAAAAGTCACATTTTTACAGTTTGAATTAAATTGTAAACTTTATTTTAATCTTTTTATTTTTAAGATCAAACAGTTAATATGCGAGGAATTAAAAAATGCACTGATTCAATTCATTATTTTTTTCCAACAAATTAAATGTTCAGCAGTGTTCTGTCCGAATTGTTTAAATAATTCGGTTTTCATTTTTTCAAAGCACTCGTCGACTGGTAAAAGAAGAGATGCTCGTTGCTCTTGTGGCACCTATGAGAAAAAAAAATTTTTGCCGTAAAATTGTGCTAACACAAAAAGGTATCGTAGGTATACATGTGGAACGAATATAAATTTACCTCTCTGATATTAGTTAATTCAGGCTGAACTTCGGATCGAACACGATGACGAAATAGTATCAAACATTCAACAGTATCGTCGAATGTTTTCTGCATAAATGTGTCGGCTTTCTCTTGTGCTATACGATCACATTCTTTGTCAGTGGAAATTAGCATTGATTTGTGCGCGGCATATCCATTCACTTGGGTTTGTGCGGTTTTATTAAATTCTTTGAGAACCTCTCTTAAAAGAGGATTATCATCAAAATAAGCGGCAGTTTGTTCTGGCTTTCCACATAGTAAGTATTTTTCAAATAACGCAACTTTGTCAGCTCTCGTTCCGGTCAAGTTGCCAGTCACTGGTGCTGGTGGTGTCTAATTGAAATTTAAATAATGCAATTTCGATACATAACAAACAATAATAAGAAAAATTACCGAAGAAGTGGCTGCTTCTTCACCTTGAGCGCCCAATAATAACAACGACGCGAATAAAATAAGCAATGAAATCATGTTGATGTTGATAAGATGACGCCCAAATTAATACTGAACTAAAATCAACTCTTTCGACAGACGACTACATCGCCTTGAATTGTCAACGATATGCATAAAAAGTATAATGCTATCTTAATCGAATGAGAATTGATTCTTTGCGAATAGCAAAATAGCAGACGAAATAATGAGATAATAAAACCGGTTCTCTTGCAGTGCGACAAGGTCAGTGTGATGCTTGTCTCTTTAAACAATAAACAACTAACCAAAACGTCTATAAGAATAAAGCCCAAGTCGGCCTCTGATAAAAAAAACAACAACACACACATGAACATTGAAACAAAATAAATCAAACAGTTGGTATAATGTTTGCTAAAGGTAAAACTAAGTTTATGAACAGCTTTGGAACAATAGAATGTACTGCTACTATGAGGAGGAAGACACTGTTTACAACGTTATATTAATATGTGATGTTTCCATAACACAATTTTTGAAAAATTTGAAAGTGACAGCACTTTGTATATATGCGATGAAAGTACTACCCGAGTATCGTAAAAAACTCGCTGGGTTTTGCAAAGTTAGTTGCCAATATGTTTATATCGACCTATGAATTCTCCGGTGTGATTAATTTGAATCAAAACTTTGTGGTAAATATTGTTTCGATTCAAACGCTCTGAAAATTTGTTTCTAGAGCAGATCGAATCTGATATTTATTCTGCGAAACAGTCAAGCTTTGATGCACTTCCCATACAAAAAGTAACTAAAATGGTTGTGCACTTTTTCTTCCAAATTTTCATTCCAAACAGAAAAATGATGTGAGAACGAATTGTAGCGCTTTTAATTTCCTACAACTTTCTTACAGACCATAGCATGGCAGCACAAATGGTTAACGAGATATGGAGATTTTAAGAATTTTATAAAAAGTCCAAAAAATCGTTTTTTTTCCATATAAGAAAATTAACACACTTAAAAGTGGTTTTTCCCTTTGAAAACGTTCGCCAGGAATTTGGTATTTTTACTGCTGTGCAGCTGAAAAGTGACTGAGAAAGAAAGAGACAATGAAAACGAAAACAAATAAAAACAAAAATTCACTGCCGACGTACTTGGAAGTAAAGCTTGATGTATCGATGTATAAACGAGTGGAATTTAAAGATACATCTAAATTACAGAGATCCGCAGAACGTTTGTTTGAAAATTCTTGAAAATACACAGAAATTGGTACTTTAAAAAGCAATTGCTGTACTAGAGCCACTTGTTACAAGGTCGATCGAGTATTCTGGACATTTTTTCCGAAAGGGCATCCGAAGAGCTAGAAACTGAGCAATTTTAATTGAATCGTAGAATTTGAACTCGAAAAATGTGAACTTTTGAGCTATATTTATTTATGCTCCAAACGTCATGAAATTTTGCCTAGGTCAGTTTTTTCGCAAAAAGTTCCCCAAAGTTTCACGACTTTTTTTCATCTGCAAGATACTAATTTTTCTGAGTATGCAGAATGAAAATACCTAAAAAATACTAAATACGTGCAATTTATTTTCAGATACCAAATATGGGTACTAACGACATGTACGTTTTCTCCTTTCGTTTCAAAATTTTACAAAAACAATTGAAAATGCAAAAAAATGTGTCGA